CGGGTGGAGACGTTGAAGTTGGAGACTCACGTCAGACAAGGGAAGTGCTATCTAAGAATGTACAGCAGACATCCGAGGATGCGCAACGGACAGAGGCTGAGGTCTCTGGGGGAAAGGGTGGATGGCCTGAGGGCAAGAGGGGTTATGAGGGTATTGCGCACGCTGGGGGGGGAAGTGTGTCGCAAAAAGGGGAAGCGTTGACAGAGAGACCTTGGGAGGAAGGGAAAAAGAGGCCGGGTGGAGACGTTGAAGTTGGAGACTCACGTCAGACAAGGGAAGTGCTATCTAAGAATGTACAGCAGACATCCGAGGATGCGCAACGGACAGAGGCTGAGGTCTCTGGGGGAAAGGGTGGATGGCCTGAGGGCAAGAGGGGTTATGAGGGTATTGCGCACGCTGGGGGGGGAAGTGTGTCGCAAAAGGGGGAAACGGCGGTGGGTGACTTGGAAAAAGGTGTGTCTTCAAGTCTAGCAAAAGGGCTGACGCACATCACGGGAGATCGGGGCAGAGAGATGTGGGAGAGTCATGTCTCTGCGAGTCGGGGAAGGAGTCTGACGAGAGGCTCGGGGGCAGGGGCAAGGCGCCTAAGCGCAGATCAGAGGATGGCAATGGAGGCAATGGCAATGCCAGGGTTTCACGCGTTAGCGCCGCGAAGTAAGAGGGGTGGGGAGGAATACTACTCACGGCGAACAAGTCAAATGCGCAGAAACAGAAGGTCACAGACACCTGACGCGGGTCATTTTTTTTCTCGTACGTCAGGTGATGGGGGAGGCGAAGTGCCCATGAAGGAGGAAGAAAAGCGCAAGAGGGGGGTTGATGCCCAGGTGGAGGGGGATGGTGGAGGCGGTAGTGCCTCGGGCAAGGAGGGGGAGGAGGATGGAGAGTCCCAGGGCGGGGAGCCATCGGATGAGGGAGAGGTGAGAAACACTTCAAGCGTGCTTCTCGACTTGTCACAGTCACATTTTGGAGGTAATGTGGAGGCTCTCAAAACCCTGGTGTCCAATATGGGGGGAGGTGGAGACAGGAACCAGAAACAGACGCTGAAATCGCAACCCGTCTGAGTTGGGAGGAGAACGCGAGAATGTTGAGGGAAAAACGCCAACAAGCGGCTAGTGCGAAACTGGCAAAGGAGATGGAAAGCATGTTTCAAGCAGCAGACAACTATGTGCCACCTCTAAAACCAGAAATTGAATCTAGTTGTGAGGGAGACGAATCTAGCCAGCTTGTATTCAGCAACTCTGAGACGGTGTCAGGTCAATCAGTGTTGGCGGGAAATCGCTTTGAGTCGTTGGTCGACGAAGATGAGGATGACCAGTTTCCTCCGTTACCATCTGTGCAACGCGTGCTCAACCCATGGCAGGTGGTGGAACATAGAGGGTCTAAGAAGAAGAAGTTGGACACACCCTCCCCTGAAATCCCTATCCCTTTACGAATAGGGGCTTTGGCTGAGCAGCACCATGAGAAGCAGAGAAAGGATTTCGAGCTAAGTAAAAAGGTGCTTGAAGGGGTACGGCGAAAATTCACAGAACAAGAGAACACTGTGTCGGACCTTGAGAAGAAGTGGGGAAGGGTACAGAGGGGCCCGGAAGTCCAGAAAATGACCATGGAGATCACAAATCTTGATGAGAAGGAGGGAGAGGCCAAGAAGAAGGTGAAGGAGGCAGAAAAAAAGAAGGCTCATTACGAGCGAGAAGTAGAGAGGGAGAAAACAGCCTTTGAAGGCGTGAAGAGAGAACACAGGGAAAAGACACAGGAACTTTCCGCTGTAAAGAAAAGACATGGTGAGGCTAAGCTGAAATCTGCCCTAGACAAGGCACAGGAAGGGTTGGTGCGGTTACGGGAAAAATTCGGGGAGGCGAACTCGAAATTCCTGGATCACAGAAAGGAAGCAGAAACGGCGAGAAGGGGCCTGCTCATTGCTCAACAGATGGCAGGGATAGAGAGCCTACCCATGCCAGAACCACCTNGTGCGGTTACGGGAAAAATTCGGGGAGGCGAACTCGAAATTCCTGGATCACAGAAAGGAAGCAGAAACGGCGAGAAGGGGCCTGCTCATTGCTCAACAGATGGCAGGGATAGAGAGCCTACCCATGCCAGAACCACCTAGTGCAAAACCAAGGGTCAAGAAGACCCAGCCACAACTCTCAAGGCAGGGGGAAGGGGAGAGGGCAAAGGGAGGAGGGGGGGAAGGGTCGCGGACGGGGGGGGACACTCGGGTGGACGGGACGAGGGGGACAAACGGTAAGGGATACATTATTCCCAAGATATTGCCGTCCACTCCAGAAAACTCTAACGACAGTGTGTACAAGGAGGTTCTGGCAAAGTACCCTGGTCTCGATGGGAAGACCCTCGCAGAGAAGGTTGTTGTTGTTGTTGTTGTTGTTTCTCACATTAGCTCTTTAGTCCACAAAAAATGGGGAGCCCGTGGTCTCAAAAC